CCCCCCCCCCCCCCCCCCCAAACCGAACTAACCAAATAAATATATAGGAAAGGACCCAACAAAAGTAGACACAAGTCTAATCCTAAAGCAATATGCACTAATGAATGGTGGGGTTGTTCTTGCTCATGCTCTCAAATCCATTAGTTCTCTTCATTATGCCATGTTAATCACCTTATTATAACACAAATTCTTTTGTCCTTTAAAAAAAAAAATTCTTTTCGTGTGCCTTTTGCCACCTTCGGAACAATCTCAACCAAATGCATCCCTCTTCGAATTTGTGCATTTACTAAAAGTATTTGATTGAAACTTAAAATTAATTGTTATTTGTACGAAACATGTGCAATAGAACGAGATTCAAAGCACGGGTTGTTTGCTCAAAACGTTATGAAAGTTTGATGATATTCAATATTTACGGTACATAAATGTTACTTAAACAACCACAAATCTTCACAGCTCAAGACCCCTTATCGAGGAACAAATCTCCACAGCTCAAGACCCTTATCGAGAAATCTGTATAGCGTAGAGAAAGAAAGGGATTTTATGGATTTCTTATTCTTTTTATTATAATTGTTCAATTTTTATGAGCTACTCAGGTCCCATTTTATGCTCAAGTATAAGCCTAATTGAATCAAACAAAGATTCTTATATCTGGCTGGCAATTCCGTCGACCACTGATTGCACACCAATTGAACTAAATTAAGCCCAGTGTCCAACATCTTACATCTCCCATCATGCTACTATGAATTCTATTCACGCTCAAGAAATAAACCATGCGACCATCGAGCCACTTGCATAAAAAGATTTGGAGTATTATGCTAGCTAAATCTCATTACGACAAGTATACAACATCCTTGAAAGTGTCTCACTATGCCAAAGTCTACTTCAAACACATCGAAATTTAGCATCTCCAATGCCTCTGAGCAATCTCTCGGAGCTATATTAATATTCATTTTACTCAGAAATTATGCCACAATTATATTACAGCACCCAGAAGTAGCATACTTGTCAACCATGAACACAAATCATAAATGTGATACTGAATTGTCTTCCAATCGCCTTCATATTACTTAACTTCGGCGTAATTGCTTTCCAAAATTGCCCCATTAGATCGAATCAAACATGATTGTAGAATACATGTTAGAGTAGCATACATTACACCTTCACTTGGTAACATAGTCAAAAGTCACATAAGACCCAATGAATGTGTAATCACTAAACAAAAAGTAGATCAAAACGGCAATAATCCGTTCCTTTCTTTTAGTTAAGTATAAACCAAAAAATCTTCTATTTAAAGTACCATCTTCGCTCATTGTGTAAGCAGCAAGGGTCCTTTGAGAGGAGATATAAACGCCCTAATACCCCTTAACAATGTCACACAATTAATGTCTAACTCAAATGCCTCCGAAATTTAAAAAAAATGTTTGTCTAGTACAAATAGTTCACTAACTTTGCCCCAAATCGGGTGCTTTTTTCACAGAGAATGATATATTTTCAATTTGAGTATTCATCTAGAGTGACTGTTATATAAACTGACGATCATCATTAGTCTACGACTCTTTTCATTTCGAATAGGGGTTTGTTTGGTAGTTGGAGGTGTGGGTGGGCAATAGCACTATAGCATAAGACTTATCTGGCAGGGGCACACAAGTTGATAGCATGATTGGATCGTGAAACAGGGCTCGTGCCAATCAACTTTTCTTTCTTTACAATTCAATTTGTTAGGCATAAAAGTAAAGGCCAAGAAATTAAAGAAGCTCAGTACTCACTTGTGACCCCATTTTCAAAGAGAGGAAAAAAGGTGTAGAAGCATAACAGATGGTAAAGAAGAACAAATAACAAAAAGTAACTAAAGAAAGCTGCCCCCTCCCCAAACCCTACCCAACACTCCCATTTCTTTTAAAAACTCGTCCTAAATCAAAAGCCGAACCCATAAAAGATTGTAAATTTACGGTTTCTCAAGCACCGTAGGATTACTCCCCCCCCCCCCCCCCCCCCTCAACCCCTCCTCTCCTATTTCTTTTAAAACCTCACCAGAAATCAGAACTGAACTGAACCCTTAAATATTATACATTTATAGTTCCTCAAGCACAAGATCTAACGAAGGAACAGAGGAATACACCATGAAAGGCAGAGAAGGCAAAGGACCTCCTTCAGCAGATCTATTGGTATGTTTTCCTTCTAGAGCGCATCTAACACTGATGCCAAAGCCCATTTGCAGCCCAGCTAGGCCCAACTCAGAACCCAACAAGCGCCACCAGCATCACCACAACCACCGTCCAAGGCTGCATCGGCACCTGAGGAAATCTAGTAATAGAGGTGGTGGTGGAGGCCATGCTAGTCCTCTCGTGTGGGCGAAAAACAAGGCGACAAGCTCTGAGATTGAAGAACCGACATCCCCAAAAGTCACATGTGCTGGACAGATTAAAGTAAGGCCTAAACCTAACACATGTAAGAATTGGCAATCTGTCATGGAGGAGATTGAAAGGTTGCACAACAGCAAGAAACACAAGAAAAGGCCTACTTGGATTGAAGCACTTGGATTGAAGAAAGATATAATGCAATTCTTGACATGTTTACGTAGCATTCGATTCGATTTTCATTGCTTTGGTTCATTTCCTACAGCGGATATAACCTCAGATGACGACGAAGAAGATGAAGACAACCACCAGCAGATACACGATGAGGATAATGAAACTTCGAGAACTGTATTCTCCAAATGGTTCATGGTTCTGCAAGAAAATCAAAGCAAACAGTTCGCAGAAAAGGAGAGCAGGGAGAAGAATTATAAATCTAGTACTGATGATGATGTGCCTTGTGTCCCACCACCAAATGCACTTTTACTCATGCGTTGTCGATCTGCTCCTGCAAAAAGCTGGCTGGAGGATATAGAAGCAGGAAAAAAGGAAAATGATGATCAAGAAGAAGAAGAGGAAGATGAAGACGAAAACGAAGACGAAGACGAAGGAAAATTAACCAAGGAAGAAGAAGAAAATGCAAAGAGGAAAGAAAATTCAGTGTTGATGCAATATGGAGCAGATTTTTACAAAATTTCTACTGATATTGCAAAAGAAACTTGGGTTGTGGGAGGAATAAAAGATTCACTATCAAGGAGTCGCAGTTCAAAGAGATGATATACATGAAGATTGATCAAAGGTTGATGATATTTTGCTATCTTGTTAATTTACTAAAATTTAATTTTGCTTTACATTAATGTCTGATGGATGTTGAAATTGATTCATTTTCTGAGTTCCGCGTTGGGAAATCCTGATCAGAAGTCCATTCTTGGCCTTGAGGATTTATATTTGTATTTTCAATTTGATCTGTATTACATGTACAGCTGTATATGCTTTTAAATATTTTTATTTCTATTTCCCAATTAATATATACATATATATAAAATTATCTGCGTCCCTGTGTGTATACTGTATATACATATATTATATTGCATGATATGGATCATTTGATAATGAAATTAATTAATTGATAAAATAATAATTGTTTTGGCTTTTATTTTACATTAAACGACTGCATTTTGCTCGTTTTGAGATAAGAATCATCAGATCACTAATGTATAACATTTATCTATTAGCTTTGATATAGCAAGCTGTCATTACTGATAAACTAGTTTTTATGATTTTTTTGTCGTAATTATGATCGGAAAACTAATATGATATGTTTGGATCGCAACATTTGTAGTTTTGACAACGAAATGACTCGATTTAGTTTTTCGTGCATACAATAATTGATTCTAGAGATGTTATAATGTACAGAGAACACAAATGGAACACGAAAACGCCGTAGGAAAAAAAAAATCATAGAACCTATTAATTAGTTTCTATTCTTTTCACCAAAGTAGCTATGAGTTTATTCTTTACTTTAGATGGTAAAAGCAAAATTCAAAACTTTGAAATGGGAGTGTTGGTTGATGTAAAAGAAAGAAGAATGTTAGGTGTATCTCTATAATTATCAATCATTGTGTCCCTTTTGTCTAATTATGAATTAAAAAAAAAAAAAACTATATTTTCTCTTTAAAAATTTGCGAATCAATTGATTCAGTACGTTCTTGTTTCGATCCAATTCGACCTATTCCAAGAAACGTCGGAATTTTAGTAAATTTTGATAAAATTGATGAAATATAAAATTGAAAAGTTTTTAAAAGCTATAGATTTCTTGAAATTTGTGATTTGAAAATAATTTTAAAAAAATAATTTTTAGAAAAATGTGGGTCAAATAGGGGCTTAATAAGCTGCATGCATTTAGTATTACATTTTTTATACTTTAATAAAATTTATTTGTATATTATTATTATTATTATTATTATTATAAAATAATTGTAATATGCACAAATTGTACCTTAACTATTCTTTATTGTCTTTTAGGTTATATAATAGTTAAGGTTAAAATTATGTTGTAGTAATTTGTAAATTTGATTGTTATGTAACATACTTAAAAGTGACGCAGACAAATAATTTAAAGCGTTACATCTAAGTAAAATTACAAGCAAATGGTAATCTGCTTTTCTCACTTTTTTTTTTTTTTTTTAACTTCATTTTATTTTCTAAAATTGTACATTTACCTCGACAAAAAGGATGAAGTTTGAAATAAAAGTGATTAATACTTTATCAACTATTTGAAATTTTAAATCAAAAACAGGATAAATAGTTAAAAGTATATTTTGAAAAAGTTGCGACATATTGCATAAGATTTGGGCCGTTGTGTATAGCTGCTACTGAGATTAGGTTTAGTTATGCCACGGCCTTCCTTTTCTTCTAAAGATTCGAAAACACCGAAATTTTAAGTTTTCTATTTTTACCCTACATTGAAGTAAAATTTTAGAGGAAAGCCATTTGTACAGAAAACCTTTTCACAGAGGTCTTACCGACCCTCACATGAGGTGGGTCCCAATGTGGGATCCACCTGATTTGAAATTGATTCAAAATTTTTCCGGCCCTCCCTTGTGTGTAATCTGTAGAACTTCTATGAAGCTACACTTCTGTAAGTATAGCTCGGTTCAAAATTTTAAAGGAAACTCTATTTTCTATTTTTATTATATAATTTTTTTATTAAAAATAATCATTTACCATTTCAACGATAAACCAAAACAATTCTGTCTTTACAATCTTTTGAACCCCTCCATCACCGAACCGAAGCACCAAATTTCTTGATCCTTACCATATTACAACAATTTTCTCTATCACTTCTATTTTGATTGTGAAATACTTGATTCTGACAAAAAAAATAAATTTTTTGACGATATATTTAGCACGTTAGATTGAACAAAATTAATGAAGAGAATTGGATCATGTCAAATGTTATCTAATTCAATCATAGTAACGAACAACATTAAAGAGAGTGTAACTTTGATATCCATGTTGTCAAACCCGATTATAGATCAAACCCACACTTGAGAGTCAAACCCGATTATATATCCACATCCAATTATCCAAATGGGCTAATTCGTTTATATCCATGTTGAGTCCATTCTGCAAGTCATTGCTTAAAATTTTAAACATATTATATTATTCAATATTAACGCTACAAATTAAACATAATAAGCCACGTTTGGTGAAAATTAAAATCTAAATTTTAATCTAAATCAAAATTAATAATTACTTTTTAGGGGACGCACAACTTTTTAATCATACATTTTATTAATTTTTATCAAAATTTATTAAAAATTCAATTTTAATCCCCCCACCAAACAGTGGCTAATTTCTATATAAAAGTAAATCACGGAGAGATATGCTAATTAAAAATGCAAATAGTACGTGTTTAGTTACGTGAAATAATTATACGATATTAATTTCCTGTTTGACCTAGTTTTTTGCGATTATCAATAGATGGATTATATAAAATGTATGTTTAAAAAAAAGTTAGACGAACTTATAATTTAAAAAAATAAGGACTAAAGTAGAAAACAAAATACGATAGAAAACGGATTATGCTTACACTAAGAGAACATTTTTATCTGCTCAAACACTAATTGCCAATTACTTATGATCATCTATGATTAGTTTTTACCTTTTTAATTGCCACATTTCTTTTGATAATCTCAAACAAATACAAAAGAAAAAAAAAAAGAATATATATGAAATAAGAAGAATCTTTCTTTGTGGCTGCAATTTTTTATTCGTTTCGTGTACAAAAGGAATTCGGATCTTTAGAGCCTGGATTCGATTAGTAGGGTTGGCCAATAGCCATAACAGAGTGAATATACTAATTGGTTAAGTTTAAGATCCAATTAAAATCGAAAATATAGTTGTTATTGGGTCTCACTCGTCTAATAAAAGTCAACAATAACGACCAATTTTTCAATTTTAATTCGATTTTAATTCGTACCGAACACGCCGTAAATTTTAACCTCCTTTGGATACAATTATGAAATTTATTTTAATTCATATACTGATATACCAAAATGATGGCTCGTTTTAAACTTCTTTATTCCTCTGATTTTCACGTAAAAAGATCATTCTTATTAAGAGAATTAACTTAAACGTTGATTTAGTTTATAAATTAAAAAGTGGGAATGCCATTTCTAAATTAATTGGAATATAAGTTTATGGGAGTACCTAATATTTATATGGTTGCAGCTAACTAGAACGTGGTTGAACAAATCAATCTAAACCATTATTAATTGCCAATTTGCTGATTTATTAAGCACCGATTAAAATATTTACATATCAAAAAAGATCTATCATGAGAGGATTTTAAGGGCATATTCAAATAAATGTAGACCCATTATTTTATTTTTATCATGAAACGAACCTAAATATTTAATTAATTATCCAAAACACGCAAGAATTTCAGCTTATGCAGGAAATATATATTTTGGGTTCCAATTCACGAGTACGTGGACGACGACCAAACCCCATGCCATGCTGCTCTCTGTTCGTATTAATTTACATTTCTATAACAAATTTTCTTTGTTTAGATTTGGTCAAAGGTTGAGTTATTTAGATTTAAGGTTTCTTTGTTTTTTAGTATGATTGCTTGAAAACTTGTTTAATTTTATAAGGGTTTGGTCGTCGTCCACGTACAAAATTATTTTATTCGAAAAATGTGCAATTAAAAATGAGTTTGAAAAAAAAAAGATAAATATTTTGTACCAAACTAGGTAAGAAATGGATGTCATAAAATTGAATTCTTCATGAAAACATTCTATATCAATGTAATACTTCGTGCAACTTATTTGTACGTAACAATATTTGTTAAACATGCAGTATAGGTTAAAGCACTATGAACCAATCGTGAGAGACATTTTTCAGCTAAAGATCGACGTCTACCCTTGCACGTTGATTTCTATTCGTTAAATTATAAGTTTGTACATTTTGAAATATTAAAAAAAAAAAAAAAAAATGCGGCGGGACCAGCCGTGTTATAATGCATATTCTAGACACTTGTAAAATGCCTATAACCAAAAAAATAAAAAGCCAAGAAGAATCAAAAGCATCTAATTTCCTTGTTTAATATTCAAGAATAATCTTTTATAGACTGAAAAATTAACATGAATGAAGTGAGAAATGAACCGGCCGCAGGTGGTGGCTGCATGCGGCGGGACCAGCCGTGTTATCCTATTTTGTCCTTGTTAACCACCTTAACCCCCCTATTCAATAGCCTAACCACCTATACTTTATCACCCTTTTCTTCTACTTTTTTTGCTTCTTAATTTTCCATTTAATTTGATTATTTACCAAACCCTTTTTTTCTTCAATTATGCTACACGTAGATCATTCTTTACATTTTCTTTTATACTTTATCACATGCCAACACACAATTTAACATTTTAAATTTTATACAGTTTTTTCACTTAATCAATACTTGTCAACACTGACAATGTCAACAATTATGACAAGAAAAGAGTGTACAAACGGCATTTTTCTTTTTCTTATATCCTTTTCTTTGTTTCATACTCAACATCAAACTGGCCAACCATTCTCTCTCTCTCTCTCTCTCTCTAATATATATATATATCTCTATGTCTGTGTGTTTGAGTTTGACCCGTTGCCACCTACCGGCAGCTTCCTTGCTCTCCTCCAATGGCGACCCCACCACCCCAGCTCTCTAAAGTGGAATCTTTTTTATGTTCAAACGTAAACTCAAACCTGTCTCTCTTTTAGAGCCTCCCCACAAAAGCTTATTTATTCAATCTTCTTCTTCTTCTCTCTCTTTTTCTTCCCCCTCTTTCACAAACCCTAGTTCACTGTCACACGTGGATTAGGCACAAATAGAAAAAGAAAAGGTTACTAGGACCAGGAAGATTTATCTTTTATGCCTTTTTTCATGCATTTCTTTGGTTGTTTTTCTATGATCTCGTAATTGAGGAGTTCTGATTCTCCTCTTTTAATTATTTTTAGGTTTCAGTACTCTTTTTTCTCTCTCCTTAGAAAGTTATGGATTCTGGTAACAGCGGGAGTTTGCAATCCTCAAGTGGAGGTGAAGATGAGTACGATTCACGGACTGAGTCGATCTCGTCTTTTTTGAATCCCGGCGGCCATTTTGGTTCAATATCTAGCCCCCAGCCACAGTTCATGTCCCAACAGAACAATTTCTTCTTTCCTCGTTCGAACCTCGATGCATTTGTCCAACAATCATCGGCCAATCCTAATGCGAATACTCAATACAATAATGATCTTGTTTGGAACAGAAGTTCAAGATCCGATCAATCCAATTATGCCCACTTTGGGAACTTAGCAGGGTCATCATCAAGAACCCAGAATCTTGTAAATTCCCAAGGACCCAACAGTACCCAGCAGGGCCCGGTCCAGTTCCCAAACGCACTATCCGTACAGTTGACAGCGCATGCCGGTTCAGAACAATCTGATCAACGACCCAACAGTGCAATCAAGAATCCTAAGAAACGGCCGAGAGCTTCAAGGCGTGCTCCAACAACGGTGCTGACGACTGACACCACAAATTTCAGGCAAATGGTGCAGGAATTTACAGGCATTCCGGCAGCTCCATTTTCAGGTCCGCCGTACTCACGTCGGTTCGATCTCCTCTCCACCATGAGGTCCGGCCATTTGGACACACTGGGATCCATGTATCCTATCCGGCCCTCAGCACAAAAGGTACAACCATCCCCATTTCAACCTTCATCTTCTGCTCCCTTGTTCAACTCTACTATGATTGATACTATAGTGCGCAGTACCAATATTTCCACCTCAAATGTTGGCTCTTTGAATTCTAATAATTTCCAACTACCCTCTGATATTGGCCTAATTCCAAAACAGCCCCACAATTTATTGAATTTGCAAAATCAGTTTCTTCAACTTCAGCCTCTACTGCATTCTCCTTCACTTAAGAATCAATCAGGACAGTCTTTTGGTACTCTGGGGATGAACCATGATCAACAAGTTGAAGCTAATCTTGGTGGGTTTTTAAATTTAGAAAGCTCTTCAACTGCTGCACAAGAAAGGACTGAAGGGAATCTGCAAGAAAATATGGGAACGTTTGGTGGAAATATTGGTTCAGAATATCATTCTGATAAAGGACTTGAAAATGTTTCTTCAACTGCCGACGGTACGGTGAGCTCATGGATTTGTCCTTCTGATTAAATATTTTGTAGATTAATCAGGAATTACAATTAGGATATACAATGAATATTTTGCTTTTTCCTTATAGAAATGCATGTACTCCATCTTATTTAGTGAATAACTTGTTAAAATCACTTTTTTTTAGTTTTATTTTCCTTATTTTCATCATCTCGTTCGTAAAGAATCCCTTGTGGTCTGTGGATTATATCCAGTGATATTTCATTTGGTTCCAGCATTTCCTGTTTATGCTCTTGAGGTACTATGCTTAAATTGTGTAAGAGCTTTGCTAGATTTCACCAGGAAAAAAAAAATAAAAAAAAAATATTTGAATTATTCCAAATAAACTTCATAAAAGTTTGTTAGTAAAATTATTTTTTTTATTAAAAAAAAAAATCAATTTCCTGATTAAAATTTGGATTGGTTTAACGAAGGATTCATTTGCCTATTGAATCTCCATTTGAGAAGAAATTATAAATAAATAAAAAATAAGTGATGAATAGGTGAGTGTTAGTTATAAGTCCATTGAAATATGTAATTGATCAAAAAATTATAAATAATATATAAATATTATTAAATGAAGCTAAGATATAGTTCAAAATTATAGAAGCGTATAATATACATTGTGATCCACAAATCTCATATATCCTGTCGGGAAGTTAGTTTCATTAATTTATTAATGTTACGAAGCTTTTGTCACTAACTAAAGAATATGTTCCGAAAAATATATTTTTTTCTATTTTAAAATTTCTGAATTTTGATGAATACGTAATTAAAAAGTAAAAAAATCATAACCGATTTTTAAAAACTATTATGATTAAAAATAAATGTGAAAGAAAAATTATAATTAAAGAATCAAAATAGAGTAAGAGCTAAGAATTAAATAATTTCAGTCATTGCCCCTCACAAAACGTAGTTCAACTTGGTTATTATGCTAACGTAATTTCTGTATTTTAATTTTTACTGCAAGGTGGTGAGCCATTGTCAACCTTAATAGGCAAAGCTTAGTGGCCATTTGTTCACTTGCAATGTCATTTCTGCCCTTGCATATTAAGTCCTTGTTTGCTTCGAATTAAAATCTGATTTTAATCCAAATCAAAGTCAAACAGTCAATATTAACAACATCTTTCATGGGCCCACAACTTTTCAACCACATATTTCAAAAACGTCTATCACAATTTACTAAAAACTCAATTTTAATCCATGCTAAACACCCTGTAAAAAATTAAAAATAAAAAAATAAGGCCATGTTTGATAGCCTTTATTTTCCTTAGAACTAGGAATTTATTTTCCATTTTCTTACTTTTGACTTATTTGATGGTATAAATTTTTCATGGAAAACCATTTCTCACTTTGGTTCACACGTGCACCTTTTCTCACTTTTTGATGATTTTGTTTTCCCACCTTTTAGGTGGGTTTTTATTTTCCAGG